AGGCATAAAGGGCATGAATATATGTATATATATATATATATATATATATATATATATATACACTTTATTTTCGGGCGTCTTTTCCGCTGAGATTGTTACTCACTGAAGTGGAAGGCCGATGCGTCAAGGGAGATAAGCAGGTCGATATGCTGAGGGAAATGTGTGAAGAACGTAAATTCGAGATCGAAAAACTGCTGAGAAAAGGCGCCAAAAACACAACATATCATTGAAATGAAAAGAACATTGAACAACCACTGCGGAAAGAAAATTTGTTTCTGCGGCCGGGAAAAGAAGGATCCTTATAAATGGAAGAACTGCTGATCTTCTCATGCTTAAGAATTCACTAATTGCTTTGCGTTAAGTAGATCGTATAGCGCCAATCTGTTCAATGCAACAATCTGTCAAAACAAAAACAAAAAAATAAATAAATAAAAAAATCCGATAATGTAAACAAATCATTGTCTTTTCATGAAGTCTGAGCGACAAAACAAAACGATGAAAGACCGCGAGTCGGATTGGGAAGGAAAATACTAAGCCGGAAGTGACGTCAGAAATGAATGACGGGCTGTTAAATGGGAAGGAGTGTAATAGACTGTAGGCTGAAAGAGAGAAAGAAGACACACAAAAAACAAGGGTGGAGAAAGAGAGGAGAATAAAAGGAAAAATAAGACTGTTGGGAGGAACAAAGAAAAATGAAAGAAATAGCATAGAAAGAAACAAGTAAAGCGATAAAAGAAAGAAAAAAAGAAAGAAAGATAGTAGTGAAAAGAAAGAAAGAAAGAAGATCGTAATGAAAGGAAAGAAAGGAAGAAACAAGAAAAGCGATAAAAGAAAGAAAAAAGAAAGATAGTAGTGAAAAGAAAGAAAAAAAGAAAGAAAGTAGTAATGAAAGGAAAGAAAGGAAGAAATAAGTAAAGCGATAAAAGAAAGAAAAAAAGAAAGAAAGATAGTAGTGAAAAGAAAGAAAAAAAGAAACAAACAAAGAAACAAAGAAAGAAAAAAAGAAAGAAAGAAAGTAGTAATGAAAGGAAAGAAAGGAAGAAATAAGTAAAGCGATAAAAGAAAGAAAAAAAGAAAGAAAGATAGTAGTGAAAAGAAAGAAAAAAGAAAGAAACAAAGAAACAAAGAAAGAAAGAAAGAAAGAAAGAAAGAAGATAGTAATGAAAGGAAAGAAAGGAAGAAACAAGTAAAGCGATAAAAGAAAGAAAAAAAGAAAGAAAGATAGTAGTAAAAAGAAAGAAAAAAAGAAAGAAAGAAAGAAGATAGTAATGAAAGGAAAGAAAGGAAGAAACAAGTAAAGCGATAAAAAAAAAAAAAGAAAGAAAGATAGTAGTGAAAAGAAAGAAAAAAAGAAAGAAACAAAGAAAGAAAGAAAGAAGATAGTAATGAAAGGAAAGAAAGCAAAAAATAAGTAAAGCGATAAAAGAAAGAAAAAAAGAAGGAAAGAAAGAAGATAGTATTGAAAGGAAAGAAAGGAAGAAACAAGTAAAGTGATAAAAGAAAGAAAAAAGAAAGAAAGAAAGATAGTAGTGAAAGGAAAGAAAGAAAGAAAGATAGTATTGAAAGGAAAGAAAGAAAGAAACAAGTAAAGCGATAAAAGAAAGAAAAAAGAAAGAAAGAAAGAAGATAGTATTGAAAGGAAAGAAAGAAACAAGTAAAGCGATAAAAGAAAGAAAAAAGGAAGAAAGAAAAAAGAAAGAAGATAGTATTGAAAGGGAAGAAAGAAAGAAACAAGAAAGCATATAAAAGAAACAAAGAAAGAAAGAAAGAAGATAGTAATGAAAGGAAAGAAAGAAAGAAAAAAAAAAGCATATAAAAGAAATAACGAAAGAGACATTAGACGAGAGAAAGAAATGAATTTGAAGGAAAATGAACGAGAGAAAGAAAAAGAATTGTAAATTCATTAAAAGAACTAAATAAAACGAAAAGAGAAAGAGAAAAAGTGATTAAAGAAATGAAGGAGGGGGGAGGTAAGAAAGAAAACTAAATTAAAGCAAAGAAAGGAAAAAAGAAAGAGTATAAAAAGAGATAAAGAAAAAGACAACAGACGAAAGGAAATGTAGAAATATCATGACTGTGTTTTGAAAGTGAAAACATTTTTATAAATACTTACATATGTTTCAACCTTGAAAATGGCTGAATGTATGGCCAGAAGCGCTCGGATAAAAAGAACAATTGTACATTCAGTGTAACCCGGATATAAGAGAAACCCGGATATAAGAGCGATTTTCTTTGGTCCCAAATTAGAGCCTGTATTAATGTATATAAAATAGACCAAACACGGATATAAGAGAAACACGGATATAAGAGACTTCTTCTCTGGTCCCGACAACTCTCTTATATCCGGGTTACACTGTATTTATCCTTTGAAAAGAAAAAAAAATTACACATGAGAAATTGTATAAAAAAAGTAAATCAAAGCACCTTGTCTGTCATATTCAATGAAATGTGCATAAAAGAAAGATTGCTGCCTAAATACACACACACACACACATACACA